GGCCCCTCCCGTCCCACCCTGTCTGTACCTGGCCCGCCCCAGGTACAGATCCCTTGCCACACCACATCGTACCCGTTCCCATACCACACAACCACATTCACCTACTCACCCACTAACACACACACACAAACACACACACACATAAACGTACATCGTCAGCCTTGACCCCCCCACCCGGTTGAGCGCTCATATACACAGATACACACAGGTACACACAGATAAACACACACACACACACACACAAGAATGACACCTCAGCCTCGATCCAGCCCCCACCTGATTGAGGTCGAAAAGCTTCAGCGCAAAGTCGGCGTCGCCGTTGCCGATGAGGGGCTGCCCCTCCTCCACCCACTGCAGCCAGAGCTCCTCGTTGAACTGCTCCAGATCGCCGCGCGTGATCACGCCGTCGGGATCCTTGGAGATCTGAGGGTACTGGGAGCGCACGATCTCGGCCAGCGGCTGGGCGGGGGTGGGGCAAAGTGGTGGTGGTGGTGGTGTGGGTGTGAGTGCGAGTGTGGGTGTGAGTAGTTCAAGGTGGCGGTTTGGTGGTTGGGGGCCCAGGCACCAACGTATGGGAGGGGCTGGCCAATGGTGATGGGTGAATGGTAGGTGATCAAGCGCTGGTCGGTTCGCCTGCTGCTCTGATCAAATCAAGGAGCGGGGTGGGTTGACAAGTCCTAGTGGTGATAGCAGACAAGCATCTGGCTCGGGTGCAGGACTACGCACCGATAGCTTGATGGGTGCGGCGTGAGCAGGCTGCGCTGGGTACGACATAAGGAGAGCAGCGCTGATCGCTGCCGCTCCCAATGACGACAATATGGGCTGCTTGTACTGCTGCTCATGCCGAGGCTCTTGGCACCGCTGTTCCTGATGGGACGGCTGCGGCAAGCGTCGTGGTGGCGGCTGCGCTGCTGCTACTGGTCGCACAGCTGCCCTCGAGACCACCACTGGCTTCTGGAGTCGAGCTTGCATCGTTCCTGGATCGTGGAAACCAGCGGCGAGGCCGTTCGCTGAGAGATCTCCGTCGCGGTGAACTGAGGAGCTCCTATTGTGCTGATATGGTGCGTTTGATCAATAACGAGAAAACGATTGTACGCTTAATCGCCCCAAGAGCCCAGATCAGGCTGAAAATTTGAAGTGGATTGCGCACTTGCGGTGTTTTGAGGGTCTCTGAGAGGCGTTGCCACTGAAACATGTGGCTGAGTAGGATATTCGACTCACATACCTGCGCCTGCACCACAACAGCAGCTGTACATCCAGCCGAGCTGACTGTGCTGCGCCCTGGCTGCGCCTGCTGCCTCCTCAGCGGCCGCTCGCGACGCATGTTCCCACGCATGTCACACCGGTCACACCGGCCAGCAGATTCATGGGTTTAGGCACGGCCATCGATCATGGTGGCTGACGGACAAATCCTGCGGTCTGATACATGCTCGCATGCTTGAGCAATGCAGCAGTCCCTTGATGGACAGCGCTTCAGTGTAGCAGAAGGCCATGTCTCGTTGGGACAATATAAAGGTGTACATCGGCTTCTTCTTGCCACAAAGTTCAGGACAGGCTCAAGCGATTGCTCTTACAATCAAGAATATTCTTCCTTACCACATTGCTGGGCATGAAATCTTGGTCAAACTCACAGGTCAATGGCGGAGCAGAACCAACAACGCAAGGGACCAGGTCAGTGCCTTGGTGCAGTTGCAGTCTAGGATGTTCCTGAAACGCTATTGTGTAAGATGTACATGAGGTGCTGTACAGGAGGCTACAAAAACCACTCTACCACAGCATGCAGTGGCCCCATCCACCTGAAGCACATGCCGATAGCAACGGCACCCATGCTCGCAATTCGCCGGGGCCGCTCACTCCTCCCTGCGTCCCTAGCTGGGGGCGCTCACTGCGCCCGCCCCTCACTCACATGCCGCCGCCGTCGCCGCCGCCGGGCGCCGTTGCTGCCACCAGGTCCCCTGCGCCCCCATCGACATGCATCAACTCGAAGCGCCGCAGCTCAGCCAGCGCCTCCCGCACCGCCTCCACCCGCTTCTCATACTCAACCCTCAGCTCTGACGGCACCAGGCCGCCGCTCGCCGCCATGGGGAGCGGCGGCTGCCGCACGTCCCCTGCAGGGTTGCCAGCGGCGGGCGCCGCGCCGGCCGTGGCCGCGGCCGCGACGGCGGGGACGTGGCGCACGCCTCCAGCGGGGAGGTTGTTGGGTTGGCCGCCCACCGGCAGCTGCAGGCGGCTGAGGAGCAGAAGAGCCTGCTCTTCCGAGCAAGCGGCAGCCGGCTGCTGCTGCTGCTGGGCGCGCTCTGCTGCAGCGTAGTCCGGCGATCCGGACGCTGCCATCCTTGGGGTCGCGAGCGTGGCACTTGGGCCGGAAGGCAGGCCTGGGTGTTGCTCCACGCGGCTGCTCTTCAGGCCCCTGCTGCTGCCGAAGCGCAGCAGCGACTGCCCCGCCTGCTGCTGCAGGGCCGCCGCGCCCCCGCCCCCGCCGCCGCCGCCGCCGCCCACAACGCTGCTATTGGCGCAGCTCGCGGCCGCGCCATCCCCGCCGTCGTCGCCGCTGGCCTCCGCGCCCCCGCCGCTGCCGCCGCCGCTGCTGCTGCCGCTGCTCGTGCTGCCCTCCATCGGCCCCAGCCCGCCGCCCGCGCGGCTGCTGCTGGCCGCGCCGCCGTTGCCGCCGCGCCGCCGCCGCGCGACGGTGGAGCCGATCTGCAGCACTTGCGGGGCGGCGTCGGCGCCGTCCTCACGAGAGGGCCTTGCCTCGCGCAGCCTGCCGCTGCCCCCGCCCGCTGCATCCCCGCCGCCGCCCCCCTCGCCGTCGTCGTCTTGCGCCGAGAGCGGCGCCGAGTCTGCGGGCGCCTTGCGCTTGATCCCCGTTTCGGCCGGGCCG